TCCTAAGCGTATATATTTGTCTGTTCAACAAGAAGAGAGTCAATGTCTAAACCAAAAAGAAAATCGAAAATCTGTGCACTTGTTTTACCTTGTGTTTTGTCTCTTATAATTTCTCTTCTATCTCTTTCTTCATGTTTTTCCTGAGACATAACTAACACTTCCTTTTTTATCCACTTCAAGATGTCAGTCTTCTGCGTTTTAAACTTTTTAGTTTGACTATAACTGCTTTTAGAAGGCTGAAACTTACTTCTTACGTGAATTTCAATTTCCCCAGCAGTATCATTGGGTAAAATATCATTATCATTTTTTAAAACATTGCCATTCCTTTCTCCTTCGTCACTAGCCTCTGCAATTTCTGGGGGAACAACAACAATATCAGTTTTATTCTGGTCATTATTAACATTATCATCATCTGTTCCTTCATCAAAAAATCTTTGAAGGTCTTCTTCTAATGTAAGATACCTCGTTCTAGGCATTTTTAAAAAACCAGAACATGAACCAGTACATCAAAAGGAATGAGTGAAAAAGGAGATTGACTACCCATTTCCTGCTGATGTTGCATCAATGCAACACCTGTTTTCCCTTCCTACACAACACAAATATAAACATCTGACTGATGTAATGTTCTGATAAATGGTGACCTTGGTTAAAAATAGATCACTCATAAAGACGGCGATTCTTTCGTTAAATCTTTTCAGCAAAAATACCTGGTAAAAAATTTTGCTTAAATTTTGTTTAAAGTATGAGATTAATTATTGTAAACAAAATGATAGTTGAAGGCAAATATTTTTTTACAGAAATAATCTTCATAATATTCCCTACACAAAATCATCTGCTGGTATAAAATATCTTAGGTAGTTATATTTATATATGCATTTATTTTGACCGTTGCGTCAACACAACACCAGCGGCTAATGGGTTAAAAATATGAAAGTTGAACATTTGTTGAATATTATTGAATTTTACATGATTATATATATACGTATAGGTAACATTGCAACAGCGAGAGAGATATAAAACAGTTGTTTGTTATTTTGCTCTTACTTTGTTCATAAACATTAGTGATAACTTGGTGATATTCACAGCATTAATAGATTCATAAACATTCATGATATTCATAGCATTTCATGTAAATTTGTTAAATTTCACAAAGAGTGTGAGAGAATCAGTAATCACTAGCATATTTAGCTGATGAAACAAGGTGGTGAATAATTGGTAGATTGGAAGTAAGTTAATCCCATATTGAGGTTGCAAGAGCGTGTAATGTAACTTGATTTGCAATTTGTGCAAATAATTTTAGGAGACTAGATCTATGTCCAAGAGCCACTGTGCCAATGAAAATCATTATTAAATGCTTTCAGTTAGGTGTCACAGGACAATTACTGCCATGCAATTCTCTGCTGCCTGTGGAACCAGATGGTACTTTGCCGGAAGATCTGCTATTTGTGTGCTGTGAACTTCCTCTTGTGAATGAATATGCCTGGCATGATGAGAAAGGACCTAAATCTGTTGGTTCATATGCTTATGCCTGGCATGATGAGAAAAGACCTAAATCCGTTGGTTCATATGCTTTTCAGTGATAAATATAGACTTAGCTTAGATACTGTTTCTCAACATGCCTGTGTCTGGCGAGAATGTTATCCACCCGGAATCAAAGTAAGGGTCAATTGTAGTAATAGATGTTTCATGGTGTGGTCTAGCAACCATAGCACCATTGCATGTGTTTAAAAGAGGTTCTCTAATTGTTTTTAGGGGGTGCATTTTGCCTTCAGTTCCATTTTATGGATGACAATGCTCATCCGCATAGTCCTCAGCTGAACGATTAATAATCATTATTAGAATATTCGAGAATCAAGAATATTCAACAGATTAATTTGGCAGCCATTTCTGTAGACCTGAACCTATGAACACATCTGGACTATACTTTGAAAGGTAATTGCAGTTTCTCATCTGCAATCATCTTCTGAAATCTATCTGGGAACTAAGATCCTTTAATGCAGGAGTGGGTCCAACTGCCTCAGGCACTCATCCACTGCTTTATTAATAATATGACTTACTATGTAATCTTTGTATGTATTGAAAGTTATTACATCTCATATTAACTTTATTTTAGGTATCATTTTAATGCTAGATTTAGATATTCCTACCTGCACAAATATAACTCATGATCGTAAATGGGCACTTTCACTGTTGTATGGTAAAAATTGCTCTCTTGTATTATTCTGTATCCATACCAAATTTCATTAAACCCTGTCTGGTACTGTTTTGAAAAATCTCTTTTAAATGTTGTATATTTGTTTATTTATTTTAAGTGCAAATATAGTTCATAATGATATAATTATGTATTATCTTATTATTAACTAATAATTATCTTTAGGAAGTTTATCATTCAATTATTTCAAGGTATTGAGGGCTTAACTCAATATTCTATGAAATGTATTAGGAAAAATTTTAATTTTAATGATGCTATTTAGCAACACTGAATATATACTGACTGAATTTTAAAGCTTTGAAAGCAGGGTGAAAGCATTTTTCATTTTTTCAAATTTTTTATAGCTTTCATCAGGAAGAAAATATAGTTGTTGATGTTGGGATTTAAATCATAAAATTTGGGAATGTGTGTAAACTTAATATGCAGGAAATATTTAACTCTGCATAAAAGTAGACAGTTATAAATATTTCTTAGAATTAAATGAGAAAATAGTTGAGATTTATGAAGGTTTTGTGAAATAAATTAAATTACACTTAAATAAAGACTATTGATTTTTTAAATATAGATGAATAATGTCAGTAAAGAAGGCTATACTAATATTGTGAAACAGATATTAAATAATTTAGTCTGCTATACAGAACAAAATTTTAGATTTTCTGGAATAAATAAGAATAAACTGTCAGACACCAGCTCACATTTCTTGAAACTAACATCTTGAATTTTACATTTCATGAAACTACCATGCTGATGAATATGCTAATTTGTGTGGCTTTGTTGTGCTATTGTTGTCACTTACTATTTTTATCTTCAGCTAGCTGCCTGAATCTTTCCTGTAAATTAATTATTCCTAAGAGGAAAAGAATGCCTATCGTTTGTCAAGCCTTAAATACCTAATAGGTGATAGATACTTTAAAGTGGGTGGAACACAAGAATTTCATCATTGGTCGTACATTTATAGTCCCACCACTCCACCCCAATTTTAATGATCAGCACCCCATAGATCTGAGGGTTTCGTACTCTTCTTTCCCCGCCAATAAACAATTTGACTTTCCACATACTATTATTTTAAGCACTCCCATGCTGTACAGATATTATACACTTGCAAGCATTATTACCTTCTCTAGAATCAAACTTGAACTCAATGATATAACAATCAACATCACTAATCACTATACCAACCAGGGCAGCCCTTAGAGGTGACAGATAATTCCATTTTTTAGTGTTCCAATGCTACACAGATATTATACGCTTACAAACATCCATACATTCTCCAGGATCAAGCTTGGGCCCAATGGTTCAGCACCCAACATCATTAATCAGTGTATCAACTAGGGCAGCCCTTATAGGTGATGGAACAATTTTCGCTGAGCTCCATCTAAATTTTGTTGGAGAACACTATTAAAATTTGGAGAAGTGGGCAAAACAGTGTCTCTAAAGCCTTCCAAATTTTGATGAAGAACATCATGAAATAGAGAACATCAGATACAGCAGAAGTGGGTAGGACACCGGAAATTTCACAGTTGGCCATACAGGTACAGACCCTGTGCACTAACTCTGCAGTTCTGCCCCAATTTGGAGGTAAGGGTCCTGGGGTGGGGTTTGAGAGTCTCCCACTCCTCTTTCCCTATCATCAACCACTGTAGATGATTTTCAGCTCACAATGTATTTTGAATGCCACCTTGCTGAATAGACACTATACCTTTATAAACATCCATACCTTTGATATTCAAATCCAGGCCCATTGGCATGGCAGTCAGCCTTGCTAACCACTACAGCTGGGTGGCAGTGTAGAACATCAGAAGGATAGACAGATCCAAAAGTCATCAAATTCTCTTCTCCTGTCATCAATATTTTGACAGGACTAACATTGCTTGACATTATTTTAAGTTCATCCATACTTACAATTTTAAGTTAATCCATACTCAATCATAGTGCAAAGGCTCTGTACATTTATATGTCAGACATGTATAATCCATGTCTTCTGCAGATAGTAGCTCCAATAGTATAATAGCTGCCTTTGCTGTTCACTGTACTTATGAAAATGGACAATTTTCATGAAGAATAAAATAAGCCTATTAAAATAAATCATGATAACGGATAGTATAATATAATAAAGCTATTAAAATATTATGATAAATGTGTTAAAATTTTTATATTTATATATCATTATATAGACACGGGAATATTAATGTTAATTAACATCTGAAAGCATTATATATTTTTCTGGCTGAATTAAGTTTGAAATTGAAAGAATTAAGTTGGCTAGAGAAGATTAGGGAAATTTATATTTATTTTACCTCTTTTAAGTTTCTGTAATATTCAATAGTGATTACTTCTTGAAAACTTAATTTTAGGTGACATTTTGTTTTTTTGTTTGCCTATGATAACTTCAAAAGTCTTATTAATATAAATTAATATGAATAATATCCAATCATAAATTATGTTATTTCTTCTATATAAGAAAATACCTTTTCAAAATAATTTAAGCTGCAGCCTGTTAGAAAATGGTAAATGTTGCAGTTATGCAGAAGTTATAACATTGAGAATTCTACTTACAGTGTATTGTAGATTGATAACTTTTAATATCAGATTCTTCTGTGTATTAAATAGTATTAGTTTTTTACAGAATAGTATTTCTGATGTTTATAAGCACTTGAAATCTGATAATGATTTATTTTAATGAGTTTGTTTTTTCTTGTATAAGACCAATAAAAAAGCAGAAAGACTTTTGATACAGACTAGCTGATTATTGGAAAATGTATTAAAATGTCTTATTGATTTATTACAGGTATATTGAAGATGAAATGGCAAAGTTTGATGTACCTAGCTTAGATTTAACTCTAAGAGAAGTTGCTGATTTGGCAAGTCATAGAGTTTCTTTCAATTATTCATTGAGAAAATCTAAAGGTAATTTTATTTAATCACACTGTAAAATTTTAACTCAAAATTCTGCATTTCTTTCATCTAGTGATATTTTATTACTGAATTAAACTCTTTTAAACTTGCAAATTAAATGTGTAGAAAATTAAAATCTTTTTCATTTCAAATTCATATCAAATATGCTGATTTGCTGCCCATGCAAAAATAGTTGCTGTTTTTTAATTTAAACTTGTCTTTACACATAAACTGTAAACTTTTTGACAAAAATAACTGTTCAGTAGTCATTCGACTTAGCCATTTGTCTTTCAAATTAATAATCTGAAATGTTAATAAATGTTTTAAGAATAAATCTTCTTAATTGCATATTTCTGTCCTAAAGGATGTTTCATTTATTTCTTTACATTGTATTCTTTAACTGATAAGTTTGTTGTTGTTGTTGTTACTTATATGCTCACTTGTCTGATGTAATCAGCCCAAGCCCACAAAACTCCTCCTGGCAAGGAGCGCAAGATTACGTCTGTTGTTGGCAACAGCCTTGAGCACCTTACGATTCGATTTAACTCAGTTCTGCACCCAATTGGGGACGAGTCTGAGGGTCTTCTGCCCCTCTCCCCTTCCACCAAACCACATGAGAGGACTTTTGGTTTGCCACATATTTAGAGTGCCGTTATGCCGCATCAACACTATACATTTACAAACATCCATGCCTTATCTGGGATTCTAACCTGTGTCCTTTGCCATGGCAGTCAGCGATGCTAACCACTATACCGGTTGGGCAGCACTGATAAGTTTATACATAAGAAGTAATGAGCTGAAAGAAAGAGTTTGAGCATAATTTTGAATAGTTTAATGCTGAAATATAAAATATTATTCCCACCCCCAAGCTACTCCCATCAGTTTTAATTTCAGAAAAAAATGAAGTATATTAAAAGTCTTGGCTATATATATAGAAACAATGATAAATAGCAAAAAAGCAATAAATAGCAATAAAATAACCAAAAAGTTATTGACATCAATAAGCAGCACATCCAATAAACACAGCATCCCACGATTTTCTACAGTCAAAAGTTGTTAATCCGGTCTCGTCGGGACTTCAATTCCAGATTATAGATCATCAGTTTAAATCTGGTAAGATGGCATGCAGAAATTATAAAATTAAAAATATAAAACCGTAATTTATGAAATAAAGAACAAGTATGATCTAAAGGGTATCAACATTTACAAAAAAAAGCTTAATATTTATTTGTTTATATTTTATTAAACATTTATTTCAATGTAAGTTGTTTAAGTTGCTTCGTTTTTTTATATGATAATACTTTCTCTTTAATTCTATAAACAGACATAATTTCTTGTTCAGTTACAAAGTTCTGCTGTTCAAGTCCTATAATTGCTGCGTCGAGAATACCGACTAATTTGTCAATCGAAATTTTTTCGTTTTCAATAACCTCTGTGTCTTTCTTCGCTATCGGAAGCGAATTATAATGATGAGGAATTTGATTTAAATCATATCAAAGACGGAGTACATCGAGATGAAATACTAATACTACATTTAGTAAGGAATTGTAAGCCAAATAAAATAAAAACATCTGCCCTGAAGATAAGGATAGTGCTGACAGATCGACTTCCAATTCATTGCGTGCCGCGGTGACCCCCCCCCACCGCAGAACAGCGTGAAATTGATAAACAGATTTTGGAATGGTTACATAAACAAAGGATATGCTTTTATCCATTTTTTTGTTTAATGGATTTCGAAACATACTTCCGCTTTGTAGAACCTTTACATATTAGTAAATATATATCGAAAATTCTATTTGACATAATCGAAAGTTCAAGCTTACTTTTATAAAATTGCTCTAACAGTCTGCAAAAAAAATAATAAGCCGGATCCAATTCGAAGATTAAGGAACAACGCAATCTGCAACATTAACTGAATTAGATAATTTGAGCTTAGTGTATACCGTCCGTTATACATTAAGCGCACATGCGTAAACGTATTTTGCACATGTGCGCACACATATTCGCAGCCGTAAATGTCTTACGTGACAAATGCGCAGGAAGTTTGTAGCTTTGAGGTTCGGATTATAGATCATTCCAGATTATGGGTGTCCGAATTAACGACTTTTGACTATATTTATTTTTATTATCCTTTCATATATACAATATTTGCATTTATCTTATTATCTTATTATAAGATGGATTAACCATCACAAACATTATGTTGCATAATTGATCATAGCATGGTTCTCTTTAACATAACTACATTTCATAACATTTGCCTGCTGGCACAAAATGTGAACTCAAAACTTTTCCTTTTTACATTCATTTCACTGCAAGGCAGTGCCATCTAGTTTCTATTTCTTTTCAACGAAAATAAAAGCTGTATTATTAATTACTGGATTAAAAGTATAAGTTTGGAGTTTTGGGTCTTTCTTTTTCCTTGGAATACTTCCCCCTCAAACGAATAAAGCTATACTCATTCCTCACATTTTACATTTATTAGTGTGTGGTTTGGTTGGTTCAACTATGCCAAAGCACATGAAAGCTGTTTAAGGATAGGGATGTCTTTGTAGAGAAATTTTCAAAGAAAGCTAGCTTATATCCATACTTTTTCTAAAAGCCATGAAAATGGCTACGCAGCCAGCCTGTTTCTTATATCTATACAGTCAAATATCGAAAATCCGCCGACCTGAAATCTGCCAACTCCTGAAATCCGCATTGCCTCTCAGATATAAACATTCAATTTATAGGTTCCGGAAACCACAACATTGAGTACGAAATATCGAAGAAAAAAATACTTACCGAATAATGACATCATAATTACTGAATAATAATAAGTCAAAACAGAAATACTAAATTATTGACATAAAAAAGTTTTAAAAAATAAGATAAGCTTTTTTTCCCTCTAATCAGCATCGAGGTAAAAAAGCAGACGATTCACTCAACTCTTTGTTCAAGTTCACGATTCACTCCCCCCCCCACCGGCCCCCGGTTGGTGTATTATCTGAGCTTTATTATTTCATTTCACGAGATTGTTTAGTGCTGCCTTTTTCTTTTTATCTGGATATTTTGTGGATAAATTAAGAATATTTTAAATTTCAGCCCTTTTTAATACAATGACAGATAAGAAACGCACTTTTGATTTTACTGCTTGCAACATTTTAAAACGTAAACATGTTGCATTGACGGTAACGCAAAAAGCGCAAATTCTGCAAAAGATGGAAGCAGGTGCTACTCCTCTATTTATAGCAGAATGGTATGGAATTGCGACACAATTGTGTATGATATACGGAAAAATAAAGAAAAGCTGTTGAAATTTTACAGCAACGGTGATTCTAACACCGGAATCTGAAACCGAAATCTTTGCATTAGGTGAAATCGGCAAATCTCGATGCTGTGTACATATAATACAATGAATAATATAATCAATTTATATATGTAATAATAATTTAATGCATATAATAAATTATTGCAATAATGTATATAATAATTTAATTAAATGCATCTAATATGCCCTATTCATTTTGCACTTTTAGTCCAAGTGTTATGCTTTATCTTTTCTGTCCTGAGATCCGCAAAATCCTAAAATCCGCACAACCTCTGGTCCCAAGCTTTGTGGATTTCTGGAATCGTACTGTACTACTCTTGGAAAAAGCCATGAAAATGGCCACTTAGCCAGCCTGTTTGCCAGGATTTAACTCAGGTTGAATTCCCTAGGTTCAGCGACTTTATCACTTTGTCACTCGTGAGAAGTGTAGCTAGGGTTTTCAGTACCTGGGGACAACTGAAGATTTTGTGCCCCTTTCTCTGTGCCAAGAATGAAAAAAGTTTCATTCTAAAATTTTGTAATATCAATTTGGCATCTTTTGATGCTGTGCCCAGGAACAGATGTCCCTCCTTGCCCCACCTTAGCTATGCCTATGTCACTGGTGAACCTATTTAAAAATGTATAGCAGGCTTTGGTAACCTGTGTGTTGTGCACTACTGAGTGACTCATTTCATAACTTCAAGTGCCTACTAGAATTTTGACAGTAAAATATAATATATAAAAATATATTATAAAACATACATATGGAATGAGAACTTGAAGAATTTGTAAAAATATAAACTGAAAATAAGTAATAACAATGACAATTTTTGTTTGATTACAAAGTTGTAGTAACAAACATGTGTTCTGGTTTTTAAAAAATAAAGACTGTAACATAATTTCAAGAAGAAATCGATAAATTTGTGTATGCCAATCCATAATGTATAATTTAAAAAAAGTTAGTTTTGCAATTTTCTCAGCATTTGGTTCAACATATAAATGCGAGCTGATATTTTCTCATATGAAATTTATTTTAACTAACAGTAGGAGCAGCTTTAACTATTAAAAATTCAGATGCTTGACTTCCTCTTGAGATAACTAGCTATAAGCCAGACTTGACTAAAGCAACATCACAAGTTGAGTATCAGAAGGGAGCCATTGACATTGAAGAGAAAAATAGTCTGTTATTTTTATATTTATAATTATGTTTATGTTTAAAGCGTATTGAAATAATTTTCTCAGTAAAATTTATCTTATTGTTTACCAAGAGTGTTTGTTCTAAAGTGAAAATGCCACTGATCTGAAATAACTTCTTAATACACATATTTTAGTTGATTTTGGCTTGCAGCCAAAAAGAAGTTTGCCGATATATAATTATTATGTGGAGATAGCATATAACATAGCTTTGAAATGATTTTTTATTAAGTAATAAAGCATTTGTTACCTTAAAGGAATCATAACTTACAATAAAGCTCAATATTTATTTGTTTATTTATAAACATTTCATTCAACATTTCTTCCTTTTGTCCTAATATTTTTCTTTAATTTTATAGACAGACATAATTTCTTGTTAGTTACAAAGTTCCATTTTTCAAGTCATATAATTGCCGAGTTAAGAGTTTCCACTAAATTGCCAGTTGAAGTTTTCATATTTTCATCAATCTCCTTATCACTTTCTTCACCACTGATAGTGATATTTTCTAGATTTAGAGCCATAGTACTGATTTTGTCATCCATTAACTGATTGGTTGTCAGAGCACTGTCATCGCAAAGAAAGACTTCTGTTACCTCCTCTTCATTAGTTACCACTTTTCATATTTTTCTCAAATTCCATTAATTGAAAAATTTCAAATTGTGTTTGGCATATCCAAAAACTTTGAAATTTACAGCTATCATTACGAAGCTTAGCTGGCATCCACTGTACACTCACTATTGGTGATGTATCGTGAGATTGGTGAATGACATGATTGGTCTGCTAAATTTTGTCTTGCTTCTTTCGGGTGCTGAAGAAGTTAAACTTAAACTATATTAGTTTAGCTATTTATTATATTTATGCTTATTTCCCATGCATATTTAATGTTTATCTGAGTCCTGAATAAATAAATGCCTTCATATACTTACACCTTATCAAAGGTTGGCGGTAGACATTTTGCAACTTAGTGCAATCTCTGCATGTCCTAAATTCTGCTGCCAGCACAATCCTAAATTCTAAAAATTTTGTATCCTAGTGCCTTCCATAAATTTTAAAAGATTTTGCCATCTCTTAATGTTGTTGCTCAGTGCTTCTAAATTCTAAAAATTCCACCACTTAATTGAATAACAAATCAGTTATTCTTAATTTTGATAGCACTAAATGTAATCTTTTGACCAATAAGTATCATTAGCAATATATATTTTTTGCCTATAGAGAGAAATTTCTGTTCTCCTCATTATGTATAAAGTCTAATAATCACCAATCATAATGTCAAAGTAAAAGTTTACCATGCTGTTCAGTTGCTAATATATATTTTTCTAAATTGTTTTAGAAATTGCTGCATGAGTCATTTTTCCAGCTACCACATGTTGATAGTCATGCCATGATGAAAGCAAAAAATAATACTAAATGATTCACCAGATTTACTTTAGGGATATAAGTTATTCTGCAAGTAAAAATCAGCGATGTCTCAATGCAGAATGTTTTGGTTGGAGATGTAAGCCAAGCATAAGGCCACTAGAGCCAAATTATTGATCATACAAATTCGTATGAATAATTGATTGTGTTCCTTCAACATGGAGGTGTTTCATTTAGTGCCAAAATGAAGTTAAATATCAGGACTGTCTGTGTGTTTTATTATGAAAAAATATCAAAGGTATATGCATAAAGCATATAGCAGAAAAATTCAAAAAAAAAAAAAGTTGCTAGTAGTCGGGAGGTTTAGATTTTAAATCATTCTTGATATTAGACATCTGGATTACATAATTTGTACTTTATTGAAATAATGCAATGCAGAAGTAACATACCATCCTTAAAATCAAATAATAGAAAAATTATTTATTTGTTGCATTGTCAAATGAAGATGCTTAGTACATTACAAAAGGTGAAACAATGATCTTTTATCTTTAGTTTTTAATTACTTGATTCTTAAAATTATTTGTGAATCATAATTAAAATTTGATATACTGTACGAGCAAAGGAAAATAACAAAAGTTTTATGCCGGCTAGTAGTCTGTTATAGTAAAAAAAATAATATAATCATACAGATAAAGTCTGCCTAAATTACTTTTTAATTATTGGTAGCATTCGTGAAATTCAGATATTTTTATAATTAATAACATTTATAAAAGTTCATGCTTTGAAGACAGTATGTTACAATTTGTCGTTTAGAAATGCAGAAAAGTGCATTTTAACGTACAGTTTGGTTGGAACTCATTCTTTTTTTTAGTCTTTGTCTAAAATTTAAATTGTCTAAAATTTAAAATATAATTCTGTAGTATAATTATTCTACTTTTCTTGATTCTTGGTTAAAAAAAAAAAAAAAAAAGTATTACCCCCTTCCCAAAAAAAATAATGTTACAAAATTTTGTATAATTTAAAGAATAAATACCGGAAATCAATTAATTTTGATTTTAAATTTTAATTTTTTTTCTGAGTTTTCTAGATTGCAAGTTATCCCAAGGAGTAAAAAGAAAGAATGTATTAAAATTTTCTCTAAAGCAGTTTTGTTAAATGCACACTCACAAAGATGCAGATCAAAATGTGAAACACTCTTACATTTACAAAATTTTAATTTTTTTGTTGTAAATTTTTGTTTAAATTTAATTTTTTGTTATCTTCATCTAATATCTTTTAATATTTTTGATAACTTTTTAGAATTGCTTGTATATTTGTTTGATAAAATCTCTGATAAGGAATTTGTGTTGTTGCATTCTAATATGAATGCTAGTATTCTGAAATTTTATCACCTTCTTAGTAAGTGACATATTTGTGAACAAGAGGACCTATCTCATTTTAACTTTGGGGGTTCTTCATGATAAGACAGAAGGCTATGTTTACTATTTTTCAAAAATTAATTAATGATTTGCATGCTTCTTGAAGCAGAGGGCTACAGTGTGTAAAAAACATAAATCTGCCTCTGCTATTAGTAATGACTTCTTTTCTGTTATATAATTTCATTTGTAGTTGAGTTTTTAGTGGATTAAGTAATAATTAATTAAGTAATAATAAGATTTGTTGTAGAATACTGGAATCTCACAGTTAGTTATTTTATATATATGAAAAATTGCTTATAGAGTTTATAACTCTCAAAATTTACTTCTTTCAAAAGACTCTTTAGACAGCCGTGAAGTCTCAATAAAATAAATAGGATGCATTTGTAAAATTTATAACAGAATGAAATTCTGAAATTTATGCAGTCTTTAAAAGCATTGAAAACCTGATTTTCTGTATAGAAATTTTAAAGAGAAAAACAAGGAAGGAAAACAAAATATATATTATCATCTTCGTGTATATTTATGCAAATATTGTTAATTTCATTCAATCATTTTGTTGAACTTAGGTTAATTGTTTTTGAACTGAAAATATTTTGATGTGATCTTATTATTTGAAGTTTTGAAGCTACACTTTATCGTCCCTACTCAAAATTATAATTTTTGTACTGATAACAATTTGAACATCATCTATAACCCCTGGTAGCTACACATGTCACAGTTAGCTATACATGTCCTGTTATCTAGCTGCTTCTAGATTTTTTATTGTAATAATTGGGTATTTGTGTTAAAAAATTTAAATTAATAAAAAAGAGGGATAATAAATTAATTTTTTTTTCATTTCATATGCATGTACAATAAATGCAAGATCTGAAAACAGCTGAAGAGCCACATTTTTTTTAATTTAAAATTTTTTACAAAGTGAAAATTTTCTATTAACAATATAAAAAATGCTTTAAGCGTCTTTTAAATTTTGCTTTCATAATATTTATCAAAACATATTGAAAAAAATAATAATATCATAAAAAAATCAGGTTTTATTTTTTTTTCTACACTGCTGGTTTTGTAGGTATAACGCTGATTTTTGTTGTTTGACTTCTGAATTAGTATTTATTCGGCGTGTTATTGTGTCTTAATTTTAGAAACTTAATTTATGATTAACTAATTTTAAACCAAAACTATGCAAATTTTGGAAACTTTTTCAAGTGAAGTTTTGAGTTCTAAGTTTTAAGAGAAAATTTTTCAAGTGGAACAAAATTTGAGAATAAATAATGACAACTCATCTCTTTCTCTTTTTTTATTAAATTTTTCTTCATTGCATAACCAAACATATGCACCCTTATACTCTTTATGTAAATGTACCCCTTAAATAATTATAATTTTTTTTTCATTTCTTTCTAAATTAGTTTTCAACTGTGGGTGTAAAACTGTTCCCATACAAATGCTATAATACAACATATAAATACTATAATAAAAACTGTTCACATACTAATACTTAGATGAAACTATTATTCTTACTGCAAAAATTTGTAACTGAGCTTATTTATTTTTTTACAAGTATTCATAAAATTTGATGAAATCTGTATGTTCCAATCTTTGAATAAGATTTATAGCACACTGCAAGTTAATCCATTTAGAGATTTTCTCATGCATTATTCATGTTCATTTTTAATGAAAATATAAATAATGTAAACTCAGAAACTTCAAGTAACTAAAATCTTTGCTACACCATATTTTCAACAAATACATAGTTAGAAATAAAGTTGTAGTTTCAACAAATATGTGTATTTGCGGGGTACATAAAATTACTTTGGAGGCCACATGCAGCTAAATCTACCAGTTTGAGAATGCTGACTTGGTTAAAAAATGAACTGAAAAAGATTAACTGTTTGTATTTAATGCCGCATTCTGTTTAGTAACAAATTGAATCAGTTAACTGTATGTTTTGTCCTCTGAAAAAAGCAGAACATTTGTGTCAACAAGCCACTACAAAATTATTTTATTGTAGATGACAGATCATTTGCAAGCACATCAAAATATTTTGAAGCTATATAAAGGACAAGAAAGGTCAATGTGAAAGGATACAGTTATAATGATTTTGACCTTGAAAGCCTATAATAATCTTGTATCTAATTTTAATTGATACATTTTGAAATGTAATAAAGTGTTAAATAAAAAGTGATTTTCTTTTAGCTTACCATATTGAGAAGCCAGATGAGGCAGGCATTGCTATTCCTCTTGATAGTAAATTATCAAATTTTAAATCATTGGTTTTTCATCTTATATTTGAAGACAGTGAGTATGCTTTTATAACAAAGTATTAGTTTTCTTGTTGTACTATAGGTTATATTTAGAATAATGTCTTCCTTTTAGTTGCAGATTGTGTGTTAAAGTATCAAAATGTAATAAGCAGTTGTATTTAAAATTTGTTATTGTTTATGCACTCATTTACAAATGAGTTTAAAATATGTAATGGGTTATACAGAAAATAATATATCATACTAGAAAAAATAGACATATATACCTATTTCTATAAATAATGTTTTACAGTCATTACATTGTTTTTTGTTTGAAGTATTACCAAACTGTCAGTGGGTTCATAAAATGCTGTATTAGTTTATTACAATAACATTGAAATATACCTTGTAATATTCAGTCAGTGCTATATGATTATTATTTTATTAAATAACATGTGCTTGATATATGTATTGTTTCTAGTATATTTTAAAACCTGTGCATTAAAATGTTACTTAAGCATTTATGAGTATTTCTGACTCATAAGGTGCCTTTAGATGTCTTTGTATGGAATCTATATCATAAATTCTTTAACAACAACAGTATCAGACTTTAAATTAATACACTAATTTCTAGAATTAATAGTTCTTGTGTTCTTTATGGTCCACACTGCTAATCTAAACATGTTCATAAGTGTGCCTTTTGTTGCTTAATTAATATAAATAAGTAAAGATATGTAAAAAGTTTAAATCATATTCATTATTTTATGGTGTGTGAGTAAAAAAGAATTAGTGTTTAGCTACAAAATAAGAAGAAAATACTTGCAATAATTCAAATTAAGAGTCAGAAAAGAACAAAATAAAAAAAAAGATTGGTTTTTCATATGCTTTTGAGCATCACAGAACAGCCCATAAAAAGAATCCAAATTTAAAACCACATTTCTGAGTCCATACATGGGTGAATTTTGTTTAATAATCAGTATCTAAAGTAATTAAATTCTTATAACAAAAATTTGTCAAAAAATACATCGAGAGCTGGAACTGCTCCAACACGGGGAAAGTGGAAAAACAATATGACTGACAAGAAAGCAAGACAATGTTAATTTGGCCATCTAGAATATCATCAGTGTCACTAGTATGTATGGCGTCTAAGGTGAAAATATTTTGCCACCCTCCTAAAAATAAAAAATCGCAAGATTGTGATAGAACTTTTCCCAAATAAGTTGCAGTATATAATTTAAAATTAAATTGTAGTTTATTTATCCTTGGTAACCGATGTTTTGTCCTTTGAACCTAATTTACAAATAAGGTTTATTAGTTTACAGATGATTATTATATTCATTAAAGAAACTTTTAATTCCCTTAGATAAAAAAATGCTGACTATAAAAACAGTTTTAAATAACTTAAATTAATAATTAAACAGTAATTTTACAATTTTTCTGTTCCCAAAATTCTTTCTTACTGTAAATATTTGTAACATACCTTTCTATTGATAAAGTCATTAGTTCACTCAATCTTGTTTCTGACGTGGTCTATCACTGCTGCATGCAGAAGTAGCAGTATCATTTCTTCTTCATATAGTGACTGGTAAGGAGAAATGATTCCTTTGTGACAATCTCTAACTTAAAAGACAATAACTATCTTTCATTTAAGCCCCATCGGCTACCCCATTACCAGGTGTACAGCAAAAAAAAAGATATTGTCTTTTTGATGGAATATTCAAAGTATAACTCATTTTGATATGCTAGAATTAAATCAAACCATAATTATAAACCTTTCTTGTCAGCAATTAGATCAAGTAAACCAGGCTTTGATAGAAAAGTATGCAGCCCTTGTTAAAAGAAAAGGTGTCATTCTAGAGCATGGCAATGCAAGGCCGAGTTAGAAAGAAAGACTAAATAAAATCAAAGAAGTGGGATAAGAGATGTTACCTTACTCACCATATTTTTCTGACTTTTCACTCTCTGATTACCATTTATTATTCATTATTTATTTTTTGAAATGCGGGAAAAGTCAAAAATGGAATTTCCAAATTTGTTATTCAAGAACAATCTTTGTTCTACAGATCCAAAACTGGAAATTCACCTACTAAGTGACAAAAAATCATTGATCATGACAATAATTATATCATTGACTCAAAACAAAAATATGTTTTAAATTTTTTTTTTAAATTTTACAAAAAATATGACATTATTTTCTGATCTGCCTTTTATATTTAGTGCTTGTGATATATTTCTTACTGCAAGAACAGCCTGTTGAAGACTGCTTTCCTGTAATTTTATACCTAAGAATAATACTTTTTTTATCATTTGGATAATTTAATTAAGTCAACATTTAACAACATTTAACAATTGACTAGTTTTATTTATAATATTCATTTGGTAGAGAATATTGTTCCAAGTTATTAAAAAAATATAAAACTGAAAACTTTTATTTGAAATGTGGTAGCCTTTGGTAGGCTGTTAAGACACGCTTTTGAGTTGTATTAGCCTGAGTAACAAATGCATCTTAAATGTTGCATTGCTGGTATCTTAGTGTTTTAGTCTAAATAAATGCTCTATTAATTTTCCATCAAGTTACTGATGCTAAAAATGTGGAAAACTACTTTTGCAGAACTCCTAAATATAGTAATTGTTTGTACAGATGATTTCCTAGCATCATGCAGGACTAAATTATAATTATTCATGCCCACACAGTTAAAAATTAGCTAACGGATTTTTATGAAAATTTTTTTTCTGTAGGCCAGCATGTTTTCCCACACACACACACACACACACACACCACAAAAAAAAAAAAAAAAAAAAAAAAAAAAAAAAAACCCTAGAGAATTAAATATATGGGAGTTTCAAATATAAATCTTGAGAATAAAAATAATATTCAGTGTAGTCTTGGCTACCGCTTTCTTTTCATTAATGTATTATATGATGTCTTTTTATATAAGCAAGATGATTTGACATTTCCATATCTTTTCACACCAATAATGTGCAGGGGGGAAAAGTTACTTGTTTCTCTGCACACATTTTAATTGAATAACTAAAGTTTATATTTATTGGAAATAATCATTGCTTATTTGCTGTCTTTTCTTAGATGCCCGAGACCGTTTGCAAAGGGATATAGGAACAGAAGAATATGACTCTCATATGAAAGCTGTGGAAGCTCCTTTATACCGGTCATTTAATGTGTCTTTTTGCCAAAAGATGGGAATAAATTATGATGTTCAGTTAGGTGAGGTTCTGCTATTTTTTTTAAGTGTAATAATATTGAAATCATGAATAATGCATCATAATGAATAAAATATATTACAAAATAGAGCTTAAATTAGGTTTATTTCAGTACTGAAGTGTTTCTGCAATGAGTAATATTCATTTGATATCTAAGAGTAGCATTTATACACTGGTGTGCAAAAATTAAGGACGAAGTCAAAAAATTAGCATATCAGCTGAACGAAGAGGCAGAGCGGACAGAAAGACCAATCAGGAGATTAAGTAAGGTGATGTACGGTAGCACATGCGCAGATGTGCAGGTAAACGTAATGGGGGAGTGTCTGAGTAGTATAAAGCATGTTGTCGGTGTAAGATCAGTATTTCTGGCAAAGAGATTGCATGCCGTATAGCAGTTAAAATCACACCGAGTTGCTGCATCAGCGAGAAATGGTGAATAATCAATCTGTTAGACGACATCTGGATGCTTTTACCCGAGGTCGAATCATTGGGAAATTGGAGGAAGGCCGCAGTGTGACAAGTGTGGCTGCAAAGTTCGGAATTGCTCACAGCATTGTTTCACGACTTTGGAGACAATTTCAAATTACAGGAACAGCTATCTGGGGGTTTAGTAGTGGTTGTCCACGAGGAACCACACACGCAGATGACCGGTATATTGCCTTACAGGCTAGAAGAAACAGGCGGCAGACAGCGGGAGAAATCGCTAGACACACGACACAGGCGACTGGACGACCGATATCGCGTTTTACCATGGCCAGAAGACTGCACGGTGGTGGTCTGTTTGCACGACACCCTTTACAGTGTGTACCTCTAACGCCTGCCCATCGGAGAAGGCGTTCTCTGTGGTGCCGGGAACACCGGAATTGGAGAGAAAATGAATGGGGACGAGTACTCTTTACAGATGAGAGCAGATTCAGTCTGAGTAGTGATTCTCATCGCATACTCATCTGGAGAGAGCGGGGAAGCCACAATCATTCCTCGAACATCATTGAAAGGGACAGGTATGGAGGTGGCGGTGTTCTTGTTTGGGAAGGCATCATGCTTGGTAGTCGTACAAGCACACACAAGCACACGCAGACCTTCACATTTTCGATGCAGGTTCAGTCAACGGGACCCATTATTGTAACGAGATTCTTCTTCCATATGTGCGTCTTTTTAGAGGCGCTATGGGTCCGCAGTTCCTTTTCATGTATGACAATTTACCATGTCATCGCACAGTAGCTGCCGAACAGCTCTTAGAGAGTAAGGATATTGAACGTATGGATTGGCTGGCACGATCTCCGGATCTCAATCCCATCGAGCATGTATGGGATTTTCTAGGCAGACAGTTGGCAGCTAGTACCTTACCACCAGTAACGATTCCGGAGCTTCCATTGGCGCTGCAAGACGAATGGGCAGCAATGCCTCAACAACTCATTGACACCCTCATTCTCAGCATGGGCAGACGCTGTGAAACCTGCCTAGCAGTCAGGGGAGATCATATCCCCTATTAAAGACCGGATGTTTCTTGCTGGACACCCATCACAGGGATGTTTCGGCCTTCAGTTGCATTGCGCTCCATGCTACTTTTTCAATAAAGCTTCTTTTTATCCCTCTGATTTCTTTATTAGTAAGTGTTACTTACATTACTCATGTCCTTACGTATTGGGAATCTTATGGTATTAAATGTGTTGATTTGGAAAGCTTTTGTACAAAGTTATATTGAAAAAACTGTCTCGTCCTTAATTTTTGCACACCAGTGTATATATACAGGGTGATTATAATTAAAGTTTAAGTTTCAAAACGCTATAAAAAAAGAACCACTGATGAAAATGATGTGTAATTTGAAAGGAATGTTATTGAAGAAGGCGGAAAGCGTATGGCAGAAGAAAAAATTTTGTTTCAAAAGTTAGCAACAGATGGCGCTGTAAGCAGCAGAATCACGACGAGAAACGAGAATGATTCGTAAAACAACGGCTAAGGTGGATGTTACACATTAAAACGCATTGACAAGTTAGACTTGTTGAATAATTTTATTTGCATGACTGTACATATCACATCGAAAGGGACAAATCGGTTTCAAGAGTTTTGCGGCGACATACCGCATAAGAACCATTCATCAAGGAAGTTCGTAACTGTCGCGAGACTGGCGCAAAACATGTTCAATATGGTGTCCACCGTAGTGTGCAACAAGTTGAACGCGACAAACAGCATGTTCCACAACTGATCGCAATGTCTCCGGGGTGATGTTCAGAATGTATTGCGAAATGCGTGCCTTTAATTCCGCTAAATTTGCAATTGGAGCACGGAACACAACATCCTTCAGATATCCCCACAGCCGGAAATCACACGGAGTAAGATCAGGCGATCGGGACGGCCAGGTTGTAGGGAAATGACGGCTGATAATTCGAGCATTTCCGAAATGGAGCCTCAGCAGCTGCTTCACGGGATGTGCAATGTGCGGAGGAAGCGCCATCGTGTATAAAAATTGATTTCATCCGACACATCCACGCTGGTTGCAGAGCTGGAAAAAGAGACGTAATACCTCTGACCAGTGACGGTTGCGGTAACAGGATCGGAAGCACCCGTCTGCTTCGAAAAAATATGGTTGTAGGATGAATGATGTCGTAAAGCCGCACCACATACCATGACCTTTTCAGGATGAAGTGGTACGGGGTGGCGTTGCCAATGGATTTTCTATTGCCCATATTTGACAATTCTGGGTATTCACGTATGCCCTGTCAGATGGAAATGGGCTTTCATCTGTCCACAAAATTTTCCACGGCCATTCATTATCCACTTCCATGCGAGCCAGGAATTCTAACGCAAACGTCTCCCTTACTGCCAGGTCAGACGGAAGCAATTCCTGCACACGGCCAAATTTTGTACGGATAGCATTGCAGGATGTTTCCATACAATTTGCAGCACCACGCTCGTAGGCCTGTCCAATGTTCGGGCACTTCCTCGTGCACTGCACGCTTGCACACTGCAACGGCCGAGCCCTCCTGTAATGCTCTGGCCTACTTCTTCAACTACCGTTCGAATGCACTCATTTTCTCCCTCTACCAGATTGCACATCAAACAAACCTGTCATTTTCGAATTTTTGCATCATTTTCTTTAGACCTCACAACACTCATTGGACCAACACCTTCTTTTATACCCTTCAGTGTCCTGAATTGTTTGCATAGCTACTCTTGCATCAATCATCACTCTAGTAATACAGCTTTATTAGCAGAGCACGGTCCTACAGTAAAACACCCATGGCGAAGTCTAAGACGCGAAATGAGGAACAACCGATCCGAAACAAGTTTCCAGCTCATAAGGAGAGCCCGTAGGCAATGACGGTAGGAAGTCTGACGTGGTAGGAGTTAAGAGAATGAGGTGAAGAGGAACAGCTTGGTACCTGGGGCTTTATAACACTGAAATTTAACTGACATTTTAATTTATGTCTTCTTCCGCTTGCAGCTCCATCTGTTGCTAACTTTTGAAACTACATTTTTTTCTTCTGCCATACGCTTTCCGCGTTCTTCAATAACATTCCTTTCAAATTTGACGTTATTTTCATGAGTGGTTCTTTTTTTATAGCGTTTTGAAACTTAAACTTCAATTATAATCACCCTGTATATATATAAAAGTAGCAAAACATGAATTAGAGAGATCTTAGAGGTCAAGAATTTTGCGTACTGAGCTGCAAAACTAAAAAAAAAAAAAAAAAATTAAGAGGAGTGTTTAAAAGCTAATGCTAAAAAATACACTTGACAGTATAGTTCCTTAGCAAAAATATAAAATCATATAACAACAACAAACAATACTAAAGTAGTAAAAGCTATCTCGTGAAAACTAAATGTAAAAATTACAAATCGAGATGACTTCAAAATCAAAAAGGGTGAGAAAAAATTTAAGAAATTTTAATGCACAAAATATTTTAAAAGGATGCTTGTAAAAATTAAATGCATTTCAAATACACAGTAAATATGGACAAAAAATTGCAACAAATGGTAAATTAGCTCAACCCAAGGTTTGAGCCAGATTTATCAAGGGAAAAGCAGCTCAAAACTCAAATTAAATTAATAACTTTAGTGCGTTTCATCAAACGATAATAATTGAGACTATAAATGTAATTTCATTAATAGAATAATTCAACTTAATAATCTTAAAAAAGGTAGTAAGTCTCAATTATATCGCTTCTTTTCCCGACGTGCTTGTAATTTAAATTGTAAATGTAAAACTTATTATTAAACACGAAAAAACTATTCAAGAAATCCTAGTTAGGCAAATGTACAATTAAAATAAATAGCTAAAAACTATTAGTCCAAAAATTACACAATTTTAAGGGATGCACCTCCTGGCCTGAAAATTATAAACTTTGTAAGGAGAAGAATTAAAAGAAACATAATAAAAACGCATCAAAATGGGTCTTACAAAGACCAATGAAAAACACAAAAAAAAAAAAGACGAATCATACTTGCGTCCAGAGTGGGAGTCTGTTCAACTTAAAATGATCAAAATTGCTGCAAAGGGCTGCCGTAAAAAGAAGAATTCTAAAGGAGTGCTACCAGAAAAGTAATTAAAATAATTTAATTACTTTTCTCCAATACAGTGAAGCTTCGTAGAAGGGAAACACATGTCAAGAAGCAATAGCCAATGGTAAGCAATGGCCAAAGGATGAAAAAACTAGTATTCTTAAATGAGGATGTAAGAAGGTGAATAATGTTGACTATTTTATCAAAATGGCATCTTGTTCAAAACTATGTCATGAAAAAATGTGAAGCTGAAACAAAATGGCTAACTTCTAAGAAAGTGCTTATCTGGCCGAAAAGAGTTGAAATTGGAAAAATTAGCAATTTGTTAATAAAAAGTCCTATTCTTCTTAAAGGAGGTTTGGGTTATTACAGATTCTTTTAATTATATTGATAATGACTTTTTTAGAAATGTTTAAAAACCAGTTAGTAAGTTTTAGTGTAGGAAAATTGAAGTCTCTGCATTTGTCAAATATTTTAATAAGGTTGTAATTAAGAACTTTA